GGATCGTTCTTCACGACCACCACCATCCCGTCGTATCTTTCACTGCGTTCACACTCTCCTCTGGTCTGGCCATCGGCAAGCACGTCCACAATGTGCATCAGCAATGCTGGCTGCTAGCTCGTGAGAGCTGGCAGGCAGTCTTGCGGAAGGAGAACTGCGTCGAGACGCTGCTCAATCCCTTCATCGTCGTCGTCACCCCAGCGAAGCTCAGCCTGCAAGCAAGCGAGCTCAACACCAAAGCTGTCCCAACAATGGTCGTTCAAGAGAACATGCGACGTCATCACCTCCGACGACGTCACCAATGAAGTCACATCGACTCTCACACACCTGCGCATCAAACCACACCCAGCTCTCGACGGGCGAACCGGAGGTGCTGAAGATGAGGAGACGAACAGATGTGTCGAGTCGCAAAAACTCATTCGAATGAGCCGACACTCGTAGAATTCGACCAGCAAGATGCTCGCACATCTCACTTTGCCTCGCTCTACTAGCGCTTGTGCTCTGTTGATCAGGACAAGCACTAGACAGCTGGTTTGCTGATGTCTGGCAGTAGATTTTTTCTTACAGTATACCAAAAATTGAGGCAACATACACGGCGCGCGCCTCTCAAGCGCGATATCCCAGCCAATCGGTGCAGACTCCGTCGCCTCTACCGGACGCAGCGTCGTCTATAGTGACTCAAACGGCACCTCTTGCATCCGACGCGGCGGAGCTTTTGGACCGCTGCACCAGCTGCGCTGCCACTCGACGCGGTGCTTGCAATCACGGGTTCGTGACTGCATCTATGCGTAGAGGTAGCGTAGCTACTCAAGACTGTGCCGAAGCAAAGGCGCCTGACGTCACTCAAGACTCATTGGCGCGAAAATTCCCCAGAATCGTTTGTTTCTCTGCCTCGAAACAACGAGCACGATTGCTCTGACAGGCAGCGACAGTCGCGAGTACACGCATCTTGCCAGCTTGCCCCATTGCCAAGGATTGCACAATAGAATATACACATTCCTGACCCGCAGTTGCTAGAGCTGTGAGGCGGCCATCAGACGCCGGTCATGTGTTTGCACATTGTGCAGTACGGGCTGCTGAGAGTCACTACGCGGCGCAAAAAGTCCTTCAACGTCTGTGGTGGGCTACGTTTTAGGATGAAGCGAAATAGCTTCACTCTGCCCTCAGTGCATCAAGCCGTGGCATCCCTTCGCTATGCGCCCCGATCAATTGACGCGGGCAGAGACGGTGCGATGAGCTGGTCGGGCGAGCAGCCCAAGTCAATGGGGCCGCGAGCGAACACCTCGGAGCGCGACTCGTGATGTTGCGGTGCCATCCAACGGCACGCGCTTTCGCCGGCGTCAGCTCGGTAGGCAAGGCAGACAACTAGTGCTTGGTCGTGATTCGACACCTGTAGGTCAGCAGCTTGATGCCAGCACGGTCAGCGATGCGAGCCCTGGACGCAGCACTCATTTGAGGAGCTTCTGTGCGCTCTGCCACCCCGCCATGCAGGGCTGAAAGCTTCGTTCATTCGTATCTCGACGGCGCAAGGACTGTCGGTCCAGGCAAAGACCAAGACGTATTACCCGCCTATCTCACCCATCAGGACTGACCTCTGGGTGTGCATGGGCGCTTATCGGTCGGCCGTCGACCCACACAGACGACATGTGTAGGTAGCGAGCAAGCGCAAACAAGAAGCGGACGTCGCGTCCTCATACACTCCTGTTTTGTCAGAACCGCTGGGTTGCGCAACTTGAGATGGTTTCTGGCCCCGTCAGCTGATGCAGCGCCTCAAATCAGCTATACGAGCTGGTGCACTGCAGGGTTGCGGGCAGCACGGTCGCACATTCATTTTGCTACGCACCCAGAGAGGGATCAAGGCAGCACGGGGGGCCGCGTACGTGTCCCTCTGAACACGCTGTGCGTGTGATTTGCTGTGTAGTCGAGGTGACAACCCGCCGCCGCCGCCTCAGCCGCGCGCGGGGAGGTTCAAGGGTCAGCCACAGTCTTTGGCCCGTTTGGCCGGCGATTTGTCGGCCCGACGTAATCGACTGTGATAACCCCCCCCACGCGTCAAAGTGAACAGAACGTCTTATCTTCGACGATGCTTGCTGGTTGCTGCTGCTGGCTGAGCACTCGAACACGACCACGTCGTAATTACGCACAGCGGCAATGGCATTTGGAGTGCTGTCACGGTCGTGGTGTCGAGCGAATGAGCCTCAAATGTGGAAATGTCCTTCTCTGCAGTACGCCTGTATCCTCTCTGCGAGGTGATGCCTGCTAAAGAGGGCATTGGATGCACAGTAGCCACGAATGCCCCCCCCCGTGCTCGAGTCGGCTGCGACGCGGGAGAAGCCCTCGTTGAGGAACAGTGCATTGCGGATCGCGCTGCATCCAGCCAGGTACACACAATGCGGTACTGATTCTGCTGGTGAGATGGGCGGTATGTTGAGCAGTCTGGCGTCTCGCCGAGTACAGAGGGGCTGCCGCGCTGGCTGGCGATGCCAATGGAGTGTCTTCAACACATCAGTCACGAGTACGCAGCGTGATTGAAGCGACCGAGGAGACTCCGAACCCGGCTGCATGAAAGCTGACAGCCAGCCCCACGCGCAGCATCATGGATATGCACCAGCCGGCTGAGTCGTCACAGTCGAGGCACCCTGATTCAAGTCACAGCCCCATCACCTTGCAAAGAGGAACCCGGCCAGAGCTAGAGCTAGTACATACGTACAAGTCAGTGCGTGGCACAGTCAGATACGGGCTCTCACGAAATTCATGCGAGTCTCTTGTCTGCGTCAAGCTTCCAGGTGGCTTGCTCGGGTGCGCCGGCCGCACGCACTGCTGATACGTCGTCAGATGATGAATAAATGCATCAATGGTGAATGTGCCTGATGCCACGCCTTTGTGTGCCCTCTGTTGCGTTGCTGCTGCTGCAATTGCCAGGGGTCGGAAAACCGAGCGGACTTTGTTGACTGGTCAACTGCCCTGCTGCATGCAGCTGATCGGGCCGCCTGGCTTAATTCGTGCTCGCGAGGGGAACGCGACCGCCGTGCTGTGGTGCAAAGCGGCTTGGCGTGCACTGCATGTGCATGCGCGAGGTGAGTTCGGCAGGCTGCTCTTGCTGGACCATTCGATTCACATTCGTGTTTGCGTGGTCACATCTCACGATTCTTTGGCAAGCAAACTATAAAGAGGCGCGCCCAGTTGCGCGCACACAATTGAGTAGACGTGCCATCACGTTTGCACTCAACCCTGCACCCTCCTCGTCAACAACACCCAGCGCCAAGGCATCTCGCCTTCGCCGTCGCTTGACTTGATCTCCATAGCATCTCTCGATCTCCATAGCATCTCTCGACTACACAGGAGGCTGCGAAGAGCCTCTGTGCGCGACAGAACCACCCGCCACCCCTCCTTCCGTCTCGAACACCTGCACTTCTCTCGCTGGCACCACCCACGGCGACTGCAATATGTCGAGCACCAACCCAGCACCAGAGGCCAATGCCGCTCTGGAGATCTCATGCGACGTTCACACTGTACTTTTCGACATGGACGGTACCCTCATCGACTCTACACCCGCAGTCAATGCCACTTGGCGGGAAACATGCGACAGGTTTGGACTCGACTACGACGAGGTGGTGAGCAGAGAATTCGGCAGCTGACCGTCCCCGCGTAGCTTTCGAACTGGCGCACCACGCGCCGAACGCTGACTCCGTGCTTTCTTCGCGGTGCGACATCAATACAGCTCAAGACTTGTCATGGATGGAGAACGGTCGAGAATCTGACCAGGTTTGTCCCTTCCATCCCAGCAGCAGACATGCCCAAAGAGGTGGCCATCTTCGAAGGCAGGATCAGTGAAATTGCACAAGATTGCTTGGATGGAAAGAGGCAGGACGGCAGGATCGACGCTATGCCTGGCGCAAAGGAGCTGCTACGAGACGTGAGTAGAAGGACTCTTACGGACGGTGCTGTACCGGTTCGAATCCATGATGCAGCTCGTCGATGCTGTGCTGTGCAAGCGGCACCTACGTCGGACTCGCTCGCACGGGAGCTTGATTGTCATGCAGCTGTGTGCTCAACAGCAAGAAGAGCGTGGACAGCAGAGCACTGACGCAGAAGTCTCTCGCTTGGTCAAACAGATTAGCGCTGGCCGCAGTGAAAGTCCAATGCGAAGGGCTGGTTGGGCCATCGTCACGTCAGCAACTGCCGCATACGCTCATGTCGGCTTCGCCTCGTCTCAAGTGTCCGCGCCACCAGAGATCTTCATCACGGGCGACATCTGTGCGCGAGGCAAGCCGGACCCCTTCCCCTACTTGCTCGGAGCGGAGAAAGCCTTGGCACCTCCTCAGCAGTGCGTCGTCGTGGAAGATGCCCCCGCTGGAGTCAGGTCTGGCAAAGCTTCTGGTGCTAGAGTGCTGGGACTATGCACCACACATTCGGAACGGAGCATGTGGGAAGCCGGGGCTGATTGGGTAGTTGAAGACTTGAGGGATGTCAGCGCCAAATGGCAGGGAGACGGGCCCGCTGCAAAGCTGACGCTCAGAATTGCGTCCAAGGCGGCTCCCACCGATGTGACCCAGACGACGGGCGACAAAGCTTGAGCTTTCGGTTCGCCACCCAGCCGCGGATGTGATCTCACATTCAGATCCAGACTCAATTCAGGTCCGTCATCGTGGCCTGGCTGCACGCCTACTTGTACACACAGCACTCGAGAGTCTCACTGCCAACCGACCATTGAAATTCGCTGTCGTGGCTCGACCCCTTCGCTAGCGTTTGTTGCTACTGTTCACTGTCGCGATCAGTTGGCACCTGGTGCTCATGTCCTGTCTCAGTTGTTTCTGAAGAGCAAACCCTTACATTTGCGGGTACCGCACAGGCACTTGATTGCGCTCAGCTTGGAATTGACACCGACTTCCTGCCCGACGGGCTTCTCTGCGAGCTCTTCTATAGCCTTGTCGCGCTGCACAGCATCTGTCATCTCCTCTGCCTCTTCTTGTGACTGACCAGAGTAGCAAAATGTGAGCTCTTCATTCTCTTCAATCGCTCGAGTGGTGAAGAATGCCAAGAGCGGCCTTCGAAAATCTCGAGTGGCTGCATTGACGACACGGAGCATCAGTGAGCGCGTCGAGCGGAGCCGGTCTCTGATAAGCTTTGAGCGTGAGGATCTAGCCACAACGACACTTACATGTATACACGGTGTACGTGGCCATGTTTGGTTCGCATGACGAGTTGAAGTATCGGCTGAGGTTGCCCCAGAGTGCTGCATCTAGCGTGAATGGTTCGTCTCTGGAAGAGATCTTATCGCGTATGAATCGTTCCCAAATTTCTTCTGCTTCGCTCGACGATACGTCGACTTGCTCTTTGGCGTCTGTGTACTCGCTTTTAGTGATTCCCTGCTCGCGCTTGACGTCCTCGGCACCGATGACTTCTCTCTTCCTAGCCAGCAGGGCCTGTGCGCCCCTCTCACCTCCGCCCGCTTTGGCGACAATCTCATCTTCAAAGGGCTGATAGTATATCTGCCTTGGAACCCACCAAGTGTCTATATCGTACGTGTACAAATTGCCCATCTCCTCGTACAGCTCGCTTCGTTCCTGACTCTCGTCATATGTCAGCAACTCGCCAGCATAGTGCAACACAAAAGTGCCCTTAAAGACGAAATGAAGAGAGGTGAGTCTGACTCAGCTCTGATCGTCATCCAAGTCAGCTCGCTGAGTGATTCAATGATACTTACACGCTCAAGAGCCTTTGGGCTTCTAATACCCCAGCCCTTCCCCTCTGTTTTAAAGAGATCGAGCCAGACCTTTCTGCCTTTGCTGACAACTCTATTTGGGCAATCGACACTGCAACCGCAGTTTTCATTGCACTCCCAAATGGTGGTGCCTGGGTACTGTCGGGGACCTTCCGCTAAAAAGCCATTGGCCTTGTAGGCGCTGAAAAGTCGGGATGACGCGAACAAAAATGGAGACGCAGGGCGTTGCAGCTTCAGCTTGGGCAGGCGTCTCGCGAACAACGCGAGGAAGAACAATCCCATCCTATGGGAGGACTCGCGCCCATGCATACATGCAACTTACAATGCATCGGCTGCGAAGTTGGCCCAGGTCGGATCGAACTCGCGCCCAATCTGACGGCACTCGCAGTGTTTGGGGTCGCAGACATCGTCGTCGCACGAGCAGCCTTTGGGAAGCACAGGAGGGTGCTGCGCGGCAGGCACGTTCGTGCTTTGGATGATGGCGTCCGTGTAGCAAAACTCCAAGGGCGGAAGGACTTCGCTGTCCACGGTATTGGTGACGCTGACAGAGCACAAGGTTGGCGTGTGATCGAGCGGGATGTTAGTCTAGTTCTGCTGAGCGCATGAACAAGATCGGCGCGTCAGAGTAGGAACACGGCTCACCTGAACGGCGCCAAGGTGCCTTCGCACTCGTGTACCTGAGCGATGAAGACATCTGCATGTCTCGAGTCCAAGGAGTCGCCACGCGCCTGTTGATCAAAGTGAATGATGTCTGCAAGACGTGTGGCATTGGTGCGCGACGCAGAGAGGTTTCGTATCTCCTGAGAGCCAAAATTGAGACGTCTACCGCTGCTCGCCGGTGGTTCGGCGGCTGGGCGTGCGCTTCGAGCTTCGACGGCCGCCATGCTGAGCTAATTGCATGCGTGCATATAATGTGTGCTCCCAGGCGCAGCACAACTTGTTGGCCTTGGAATGATGCGATGAGTGGGCAAGGCTGCTCCACTTTATCGAGATTGTAGAGCACGCCTGCTCGGACGCGAGCTAGTCCAGATTGATGAGCACTGGTGCCGGAGAGGCGATCTGCGATTCAACGGCTCTGGCCGAAGCTGCGAACACGGTCACGGCGTGACAAGCGCAGGTTTGCTGGTCCAGAGCAGTCAAGCTGCGCACACACTCGGCCTCGAAGCGTGGGCTGATTCGTCAGCATGAGGGATGGTGGTTGTGTTCGGGTGGTTGGAGATGCTGTAGCCTGCTGCTCCTAGCTCACGCGCCCAAAGCTGAGCGGCAACTTCATTGCTTGCCTCCGCGTCTGGACGGACCCGCGGGCTTCAAGATTCACGTGATCACCTTGACACTCACGTGATCGTGCGGATACACGGTGAGCGCCCAAGGGGTCCCGGCTCCTTCATCTTTCAGGACCGTCCTTGTCGCTGAATCCGCCGCATACACCCAGCTCAAGAAGCTCTGCAGAGTACGGCAGCCACGTCTGTAGCCCTTTGTGAAGAGCGCGCGAAAAACGCACACCTAATCTGAAAACGACACGGAAACGCGTTTTCGTGATCGTGTGGATACACGGTGAGCGCGGAAGAGGCCGCGCCTTCTCCAGCTTTCAGGACCGTCCTTGTCGCTGAATCCGCCGCATACACCCAGGTCAAGAAGCTCTGCAGAGTACGGCAGCCACGTCTGTAGCCCTGTGTGAAGAGCGCGCGAAAAACGCACACCTAATCTGAAAACGACACGGAAACGCGTCTTCGTGATCGTGTGGATACACGGTGAGCGGCGAAGACGCCGCGGCTCAGGACCGTCCATATGCCTAGATGTGCCGCATACATCCAGCGCAAAGAAGCGGCAGCGACGTCTGTAGCCCTTTGTGAAGAGCGCGTGAAAAACGAGCACCTCATATGAAAACGACATGGAAACGCGCAATTGCGTCCACGCTTTCCTCCCGCAATTTTTTTGAGGTTTCGTCCAAAGCCATTGTGGGGATCACGTGATAAGTGCGCTTCCCCACTATGTACACGCCACCCTGCAGCTATCGTGCATGAGCAATCTGTACTACCATCCATTCGTGATGCTTGCAGGCATCATCCGCGTTCGCATTTATCTGACTCTTGGTGGGCACGTGTGAGTCGGGTCTCGCAGAAACGTCTGGGTAAGAGTGTGCCTAGGTAATGCAGAGCGAGTAGCGCAGAGGTTTAGCGGATCGATAGCAAAGATGAGCGCAAAGAGAGTGCATCGGATACGCAGAAACAGCACTTGGCGAGTGCGCTCTCGCGCGCGTGCATCTGCGTATGGTGCCTTTCGCACGTTACACGAATCCTCCGCACTCTTCGGCTTTTGGCACTCGCTCTGCACGAATCGTTGCTACTCCTTGGCCTGGGCTTCATGTAGGATTCGTCGCGAAGATGAATGTGTGTCAAGAAGCTGTCGGCGCAGAATGAGCGCATACACATGAGCGCATACACACATGTATGCGCAGGCGAACGCGGATGGGCCGGGCGCGGTGTGGACTCCGCGTTCGCCCGCGCCGAGGCTAGGAAAGTCGACGAAAACGCACACGAAAACTCACGGATCGTAGGGCGGAAGCTCAAAACGCGTACCGCGAGCGTACCAATACCGCAATTCGAGAGCCCAACAAATGCAGAACGAACGCACAACGAGGGCGAGTCCAGAAGCTACTATAGACGGATGGAAAGCACTGCAACAGGGAGGCAGGGGGGGGGGGGGGTGTTTTCGCTGCGAGTCACGTGACGAGAAGCGGCTCTGATTAGAATTGTACTTGTGACTCACAACTGACTCTTGACTCGGACTCAACGCTCTTGACTGCTGACTCTTAACTATGTGCACGATGAATCATTCGAAATTTTGATTCTGGGCGTGTGTCGCGACTGTGTACTTTACACGCACACAGTCAAAAGTAGTAGAGTCGTGAGTAGTCTTTGTATGTAGTGCCGCGGTCGCGGTGCATGGCCGTGCTGCGCGCGTGCATCGATCGTGTGTGTTGTGAGCGCTAAGGTGAGTCAAGGGTTGATGTGAGTCGTGGCGCAGATGAGCTATGCGGACGTAGGATCGAGTTGTACACGAATCAGCAGATGTAGAGCTCCCTCACCATCATCCACCCGCCTCCGAAGTGTACGCAGTTACAGGAGCGCGAGCGATGTGAGTGAGCCACCCGATGCTGGATCGTCTCAGCAAACCACGCGCCACCTTATTGCGCTTGTGAGGCCCGCCAGTGCACATGCCTAGCCCCACGCACTTGGACTGCATCGCCCCGGCGCTCAACTCATGACCGACCCCAGATATGCGCTTGTCGATGACGACACGGCTTGATTTGCACCATCACTCGCCGCACTGCGCACCTCGACGGGGCGCTCGTCTCTCTTGTGGCACGCGATAGTCGTTTGTACTCCTGCCGCGAGTCGTTCTCACCAGGGTGAATCTGGCACATCACAGAGGTTCACCTTGCTCGTCCACAAGCGTCATCTGCCAGCCAAGCATCCACCCGATTGTCAACACCGCAAGCCATGCCGCCACAGGTCAGCATCGACCTCACGGAGGTGAGTCGGGGTTCTAAAGTGTCCTATTCCAAATATCCCACCATTCGCTCGCTGATTGTGGCCGCCATCTCTTGTGCGTCTGTGCATGTGCCGTCCATCTGCTGTGCATGGCTTCAGGCACCGCGCTCTCCTACCAACGTCATTGTGATTTCCGATTCCGATGAGGACGGCGCATACAAGCGTCCGACGGCTGTCGGATCGAACTCGGACGACGAGCAAATCGTTCTGACATCCTGGAGAGGAGGGTCTAAGCAGAAACGCCTGTCCAATTTCGCGGGCAGGCACGACATTGCCAGTACTAGCGCAAGTGCCAGCGTCAGACCTCCCGCTCCTCAGTTCGACCGCGCCACAAACCGAGCAAGCTCATCCAGGGCGTCAGCCCTACCCTCCGAACTACCTGATCGCGCAACACTTTCAGCCGAGCACGATGAGCATCACGGATCAGCCCCGCTTGCCAGACGCGCTACTTCAAGAGGTGAAGTCGGCTCGGTGCAAGGGGTCGGGTTTCGCAGTCTTGCGACATCGTCTTTAGATCCCTCTCAAGCGAGGAACCCCTCGTTGTCAGAGACGGCAGCTCTGGCGACAGGATCTGCGTCAGCCCCCTCGCAAGCCTCACGCATTTGCACACTCAAGCTTGGTGAGTCAATCTCTACCTGTTCGATCCGCATGTCAGCATACACGCGCGAGTCTGACCTTCGCACCTCTCTTCCTGGCGCCGCATAGGAGTGGATGCGCAGAGTAGTGCCAACGCTATACGTGCTCAATGTGGAAAGCAACTTCGAGTGCATCTTTCAGGTGGATCATTGGCAGTGGATGCGCCAGGCAGCATCCACAATTCTGGACCTGTACGCTTGGGCAGCGTCGTGGGCGCCGAGTACAGGTCGATGATTGACATCGTGCACAGCAGGGCCTCCATTCAGCTCGAGTCCTTCATAGTAGGTAAGCATTACCACAGCCGCCTTGACCGTTAGCACCATCGCGTCCACGTCCTGATCGACTCTCATTCCACACTCTTGCAGATGTGTCCAGCCTACCCGAAACATTCAGCATTGGCATCGACCTCTCTACACCCGCTGAGCATGCAGCTGAATGCCTCAAACGTGTCAGAAGCCTCGTCAGTCGTCTAGCGCCTCGTGACAAGCTCGTCTTCCTCAATCCAAATGGGGATGGCCCGTCAGCTGCTGACTTTGCACAAGAAGCCAAAAAAGCAGCGCTGAGGAGAGGTGGCGCGGATGCACCGTATCATGGGACGCCATCGCGCATCGAGATCAGAGACCGCACTTCTCCGTCCGTTCATCCATCCACGAGTGCGTCAGGATCTGTGGAAGCCCCACGCTTTGGAGGAGACGACGGTGTCGATGATCTAAGCCGCCTGCGTCAAGAGTTGCAGGCTGCCGACAAGACCAGACTGGTCGACTCCCGGAGGCGCATGGGGAGCACACAAGTCTTTCACGAGGGCCTTACAAGAGCTCAAGACGTGGTCAACGCAACAGCTGCGACAGAAGGGCCCAAGTCGCCTCCAAAGCAGAGCACGCTCAATGCCTTTTTTGGCTCGGACCGATCGCGTGCGCAAGGACCGAGTCCACAGGACGACCATGACGTCTTACCCCAGCACGCATCCCGGTCGACGAAGCCTGAGCCAGGCCCCGCTGCCTCCTCCTGGAGTGCGCGTCTCGCGGAGGGATACCAATGGGCCACCAACGCTGTTAATGATGCTCTGCAAGCGCACGCGGCCAACTCACACCGCGCTGCCTCTGCTACTTCAGACAGTGAGTCCATCGTGCTTGTATGTCAGGAACGCGCAGAAGCTAACGACTTCAACTATCACCAAACATCGTCACAAGACCCTCTGCCTCTCCCAAGGCGGCATGTGAAGATTGATGGCGAACTTGTAGAGGTTGACGCCGATCCAGCCGAAATCAGCGCTCAATTTCACCACCCGCACGATCAGCAAGGACCGTCTTCGCGACCAGGTCAACTCGAGGAACTGCTCAACACAATGGCGCAGAATCAATATCGAGGACCAGACGCAATGTCTGCTCTGTATGGCGAGGAAGCTGCCTTTGACGTGGCGCGGCTGCCAAAGTACGCGGATCCGCATGCCTTGCGCCGTCGTGGCTTGGTGACGCAACTACATATGCACCAGTTGCAGGGCCTGCGATGGATGGTTGCTGCCGAGCACCGCAAGATGCCCACCACAAAAGATGATCAGCAGCTGCTGTGGGTGCCGCGGTGGGACGCCCGCAAGAACCTCTACTGGTGGCACTTGGCGAAGGAAGAAGCTACGCGCAGACGACCTGTGCTGCCCAGAGGCGGCATTCTTGCTGATGGCATGGGTCTCGGAAAGACACTACAAATCATCGCTCTATGCTTGTCTGACAAGGATGGCGCAGGCGCCGAGAAGCTCGAAGAAGTGGCCGTGGACCCTCGTCATTCAAACCCAAGCATCAAGCACGAGGTGACTCCCTCTACGTCAGCCTCCGCATCGACGCCTCTCAAGGGAGCGAGAATCTTCGACTTGACCTTTGCTTCCTCATCAGGCACCGATTCAGACTCAGATGAGCGCGCGACGATCAAGCGATCGGTCAAGAAATCGAAACTCAAATCGCAGACAGAGAATGTCCACGTCAGGAAGAAGCAGACGAAAAGGAAAGATCGCTGGAGTGATACTACGCTCGTGGTGTGTCCCTTGTCAATAGCGAATCAGTGGCTCGAGCAGATCGAGACGCACACTCGCGGTATAAAGGCGATGGTTTATCATGGTCCGACGGCGATCCGGCAAACCGAAAGCTTTGAGGAGTACGACATCGTCATCACCACTTGGGATACCCTCAAAAATCAGCACAAGCCGATCCTGCAGGCGCGCGCAGCAGTCGAGCTTGAGGCCGAGTACAATGCGACAATCCTGCCTCTCGAGGACGAGCTGCATGACGCAATCGCACGTCGGAGGGCTGTTGGTCTGACAACTGATCAGCTAGCTGAAATAGAAGCTGACATCGAGATGCTCGAAAGCAGCATTCAGCGTCTAAAAAAGGAGCTGAAAGAGGCTGCAGAAGCTGCTTCTAAGCAAGTCAAGAAAAGAAGGCAGACTGCGAAGGATCGGTCCAGCAAACGCCGCAAAGGGAAGGCCAGAGCCACTGCTGCGACCAGGGTTTATGAGACGGACAGTGACTTTGGCGCTTCGTACGACGACACGCCACTGTCTGACACAGCTTCGGCTGCGGATGTTCCAAGATCTCCAGGAGCACTGGGGAACGACTTCCATCAAGCGTCGGGTCTGCTATACACGACGCTATGGAGGCGCGTTGTGCTTGACGAGGCACATACAGCTCGCAATCACAAGACGGCCGTCTTCAACTCGATCACTGACCTCCAGACCGAACGCAAGTGGAGCGTGACCGGCACGCCGATCGTGAACGGCACAAAGGACTTGGGCACACTATGTGCGTGGCACGGTTTAGAGCCCTTCTGTGACGATACCAGAGCTTGGACGAATGGTATAGAGCGCAGTATCCGCCACAATAATGGCAACGGTACGCGCCTGCTCAATGCCATCGTGCAGACTCTGGTCTTGCGTCGAGTCAAGGCGATGAAAGGCGACGATGGACGTGCCCTGGTGGAACTTCCACAAATCGACGTGTTCCAACACACTATACCTCTACGCGAAGCTGACAGAACCTACTACGAGCTTTGCGAGCGCGCGATGCAGGAACACGTCCAGATTTGGATTCAACGAGGGGTCCTGCGTGAAGAGCGGTCAAACGTTCTCGTCTTCCTGATGTGGCTCCGACAGCTCTCTTGCCACAGAAGCTTGGTGTCTCCTGACCTACTAGAGCAGCTCAAGACACATGACTGGTCGAAGCGCGCGGAAATTGCCAGCAATTCTGCAAGACTGTCTGCAGCGGACAGAGAGCGACTTCAGGCCAAGCTCGAAGCCGCCGTCTCCGCCAGCGAAGAGTGTCCTATCTGCTTGCAAGCTCTCTTCACTAACGAGCCCGTCATTACACCGTGCTCTCACGTGTTCTGCAAAGAGTGCATCTCAACTATCATAGCGGGACCCAGCGCTAAATGTCCGCTAGATCGCAAGCCCTTGAGTAAGGCTACGGAGCTGGTCGCGCTCCCGCCTCCCCAAGCCGAGAAGACCGAACAAGCTTCGCCGGTGATCCCTAGCGAAAGTCAGGATGCGCATTGGACGGCAGAGGGTGGAAGCGCAAAGCTCGACGAGATACTGCGCATTCTGCAAGGCTTGGAGGAACAAGACCCTACAGAGAAGATCCTCATCTTTTCCAACTTCGCCAAGCACCTAGACGTCATATCAAAGCGACTCAAAGAGGAGGACATTCCTCATTGCCGCTTTGACGGAAGCATGAGCAAGCAGCGTCGTGAGCTCAGCCTTGCGAGCTTTCGCCGACCGTTGGCTGCAGAGAGCATACGTCTTCGGAGACCTCGGGGGCCGAGCACCTTGCCCGCCGTGACCGCCGGAGCAGCTGAGCAGAAGGGATCTTATCGCGTGCGCCGCTTACTTGCCGAGTTGGACCTGCGCCGTGCTCAAGGCAACTCTAGGAACCAGCCTCGGGGATCACGAGGTGTGTCGGCGATCAGTCAAGCAGCGAAAGACGAACAAGAGGGCATTGGTACCACTGTTCCGCGCGTCATGCTACTCACTATTGGTGCAGGATCACTGGGTCTCAATCTGACAGCAGCCAGCGTTTGCATCATCGTTGATCCGTGGTGGCAGAGCGCCATCGAGCAGCAGGCTGTTGATCGTATCCACAGAATTGGACAGACTCGTCCGTGCAAAGTCTTTCATGTAAGTCCGTGGTGCCCTGCATTGCTAAAGACGACACACAGCGCGGCTTTCTGACTGACCTTTACCCCGCCTCCTTGACTGCACGCATCCGCAGTTCATTGCTCAGCGCACGATCGAGAACCGCATGCAGGACATTCAAGGGCAAAAGGAGCAACTCACTGCCACGGCTTTCCAAAGCTTCACCGCTAATGGCCGCCGAGTTGCTGAATCTCGAGCCAGACGTGAGACTGGGCTCGGCGATCTCGCACAGCTCTTGGGGCTCTCTGCAGACTATGTGCGCATGGCGCGCCAGCAGCAATAGCGTCGATAGTCTCAGTGAGAATGCGATGGCCAGATTTTTGGGTCAGCTTGACAAGCTGCACACGACGCAAAAGACGCCCCTTTGTGCGTTCTACCTTGCGAGCATTCTACGTATTCCTGTCAGCGCCAATAGGCAGCGTCAGCGCTGTCATGAGCTTCCAAACGTTCCCTACCCTTCTTTCCTTCACTGACATGTGCAGCTCGTGACGTTCCTCGTGCCTTGGGGCCGAGAAATGCACCCGTGACTGTGTGACACGATCGGCCGGCATCGACTGCTGAAGTACTGGTGAACATTTGGCGATGGTCGTTCCAAAGATTGGTACTTGGATCGAGGCACACACTGTCACGGGAGATGATGATAGCATTGAAGATGAGAGAGTCATCGAGCGCACGGTCCCCTTCTCTGGATGAGGTACCTGAACGGTCTGAATAGCGCATGGGCCTCCATTCTATGCATGTATCAGAGGTACCTGAACGGTCTGAATAGCGCATGGGCCTCCATTCTATGCATGTATATTAATCTCTTCCAGTTCCTTCAGTCGAGCTCCCACTCGTCACAAATTTGATCTCTTCTCACAACAAGAGTCGGGTGACATCTATCTGCGTGGGGCCATGCGGGTCACGCGCTCCGACAACTTGTGTTGGCGGCAGCCACACTGCACAAACAGACACAGGTCCACCAACTTGGCGAGCAAAGTGCTTGCGATGGACCTGACAATGGTCACTCAAGCTGAGCTCATGCAGCACGCCGTCAGCCAGGGCTCTGTGCAGGTCCGTTTTGGCCAGCAAGGGACACGCAATGACAGGCCAATAAGACGGAGACGGTCTGGCACAGACTCATACAGCTGTGACCAGTAGCTCCCTCAAGACGCCTCCCTACACCCCCCCCCCCCCCCCCCCCCTCCAAAGACGACTGCCACAGTATTGCCTTTCAACAGAAGCAACTTGACCCGCGCTGGCTCACCTCGAGTTGTATCGACTTCGCGACTCTGGCTCACCTCGAGTTTTATCGACTTCGCGACAGACGCGAGCGCCCTGGATGCCGATGCCGTATGTGCAGTCTGACGCGGCTGCGCACGCAGTCTCGGCATACGTGCTGCGCCTGCCGGGTGGCTGCTCTCGCGTCAATTTTGACGTATGATCCACGGCGCTGCACAACACGATTGGTCTACGTCTTCATTGACTGATCTTGTTGCTTGTACGAAGAGTGCTATATCCTTGTCCTTCAAGTAAAAATAGCAGTGTTTGCAAGCGAAGGCAAGGCAGCGAGCAAATCGGAAAGCGGATGGCAGCAGTCGGTCTGTTTTGCGAGTTGGTCGTCACCGGTCTTTGCCCAAGACTCTGCTGCAGATGTGAGTCAACTGATGACTTGGCTGCCTGCGCTACGCTTCATCTTCAGCACCTCCGGTTCGCCCGTCGAGAGCTGGGTGTGGTTTGATGCGCAGGTGTGTGAGAGTCGATGTGACTTCATTGGTGACGT